TGACACCAACAATGGGGCACAATTCCTTCCTCTGATGCCAATGATAGGGCACTATTCCTTCCTCTGACACCAACAATGGGGCACTATTCCTTCCACTGACATCAACAATGGGACACTGTTTCTTCCTCTGACGTCAATGATAGGGCACTATCCCTCACACTGATACCAACAATGGGGCACTATTCCCTCCACTGACTCCAATGATGGGGCACTATACCTCCCTTTTACAAAACAATGAAACACTATTTCTCCCACTGAAACCAACAATGGAGCACAATTTCTTCCTCTGACACCAACAATGGGGCTCAATGTCTTCCTCTGACACCAACAATGGAGCACAATGTCTTCCTCTAACACCAACAATGGAGCACAATATCTTCCTCTGACACCAACAAAGGACAGTTACTTGGCCCTTTGTTTAAAGATGTAGTAGCAATAATAATGTATAAGTAAGTATACATAAGTAAATGCTTCTTATTGTACCAAGTGGGATATGTGATTAGAGAAGATCCTGAAGTCTTTTATACTGGAAACTGAACAATTTAGTTTTTCTTAACAGACTCCCTAATGGGACCCCCTCCTACTTCAGGCCTCATAGCAGTCACGTGGACTGCTATGGCTATTGGCCACTTCTTCCCTGATCCACCATCCCATATAAAGTCCACCCATAGCAACAAAGATTTGGGTCACCTAAAGATTTGGTTCAACATCATTAAGGATAAAGGTCTGCATAGAGACAGACATATTCTCCACAAATGGGAGGTCAGGCTGTAGACTATTACTGCAACTTTCCCAGATGAGTAGTCTGCATTTCTTTCCACCAACATGTTACTAACTTTGCCTACCTACATATAAGGAATCACTTACACTGTATTTAGCTCTGCTCTCTTTCCGCACCTTCCCCATTTTTTCTCTTTACTCAATTTTTACAGATTACAACGCACATGCATGCACACGTGTTGGAAAAAGAAGAGTAAATGGAAAGTCCATGAGAAAACAATATAGAAATAATTCTTTTCTTTCCTCCATTCGACCAACTTACTAATTCAATATTTGCTTCAGGACTGTGTTTAATATACATACAATTACGGTATATACTTCATGTTGAGTTCTCCACATGTCCTCATGATGTTTTCATCACAAGGACAATCATTTCTTCTGTCACAATCATTTCTTCTGTTACATTGTAGATGGAAAACAATATTATGGCACTACATGTTTATAATAAAGGGATTGGTAACCTTACAAGTCTGCGTGAATACATTTATGACATGCGGCATTTATACAGCATCACCACCATATTTAACCACTTCCGGGCCGGCCGTAGTAGAAAAACGGCCGGCCCGGAGCTCTCTAGATCTGAGCGTCTTTAGACGTCCGCTCAGACACGCGGGAAATTGCCGTCTTGGCCATCAATCACTGATAACACTAAACTGATGAGCGGTAAAAGCTTTTAAAGTGTCGCCTATGGCCAATTTTGGGTATGGTAGTTTTCTGCGATTTCGCGGGTGCGCGCAATTTTAAAGCGTGACATGTTTGGTGTCGTTTTACCCGACGTGACCCGATCTTTTATATTTTACCAAAAAACTGGTTAATAATACATGTTTCCTAACATAATGTAAAAAAACAACTTTTTTTTTTCAAAATGTTCTGTAATTTTTCCTAATTATAATAAAAATAAAAATAAAGCTCTATCTGTCCCTAAAAATTGTATAAAATTCATTTCAGTGCAGCGTTGCATGACGGAATAAACGTCAGTCAAAGTAGCAGCGCTGAACACTGAAAAATGGCCTGGCCAGGAAGGGGGTCTAAACACCTGGTCTTGAAGTGGTTAAAACAACATAACTGTTATCGCTAAACAGAAGCCCGTAAAGAGACCATGTTGCCAGGTGTTTTTTTAATTTAAATGCAATTTTTAAAAAAGTTGAAATATTACATACTTGTGTCCAAATTTTTAAAAAACGTGGTGCTTTTCATATGTACAATCCTTGCAAAGTTATAGCAGACCGTGCGCAAGAAAGCAAGGTCATTCATTTCCACGCTTCATAAATTGCAATATGATGTATACAGGGCCGGATTTACTCTCTCTGCTGCCCCAAGGCCAGGTTCCTCAATGAGGCCCCCTCC